CTGACCCTGCTCTTGTCTTCTCCTCGCAGGCGTCCGAGTTCCCCTCGGAGCTCATGTCAAACGACAGCAAAGCACTTTGTGGCTGAATCAAACGGTGAGTGCAGTGCGTTTTTCCCTTTAAACTTCGGGCGAAAAGTGCCTCCCCGGGGAACGGGAGGTGCGATCGGGTAGTGCTGAAAATCGGTGTTAAAAGTTGATTAGGCAATCTTTCCGATTGCCTTTATAATTAATAAGAAACGCGACTCATAACAGAGTCGGAAGGTCCTGAGTGTGTGTGTGTCGCTAAGGTTCACCCAGCAGCACTTGGCTGCTCTCATCCTGCTCACTGCTTAATGCAAATTCTTATCTGTTCTTGGAGTCTTAACTTCCTGGGCCAAAGTGACTGATTAAGTTGGGAATCTTGGCACGGTTCCTTAAATTCTGTGATGTGGGATTGTCTGCGCTATCAGTTAAATAAGTGACTGCTTTTAATCAAATAATTACTGTACGAGGCAGACTGGCGCCTCTGAGCATTGCGTTTACAGAGATCTAAATAAAGATTGGACTGAGAATCCTTTTTCTACCCTTTCCCTGGAGTGTATGTTATTTTAATGTTCAATTTGCGCTCTTGAGAGCGAGTGTGCGAGCGTGTATGTGTTGCATCTGGACGCCAGGGTTTGCCCAATCTCTGAGTGTTTGGTTAAATGTTCAAACTGTGGCTTCCTCTCTGGCGCCAGTCTGTCCGGATCTCTGCCCTATTAGCATTCTCCTAAATATGCCTCTCTTCAATCTCTTGCAGGTGTCCCACTGATGAGATTTTTTTTTTTTTTTTGCACAAGAAAATGTCTACAGGATCTTTTTTGAGGTGCTGAATTTATTTTTCAGCTGTATCTGGAGGGAAAAATCCACGTTCAAGTAAAAGGACCTTTTAAAATGTACTAAGAAAAAAAGTCAAGATTGATCTTTATCCCCACCCCATTTTTCAACTTGGACTGAACCTAGTTATTTATGAAGAGACTCTTAAATACCCTTTCCCTAGTTGGAAGGCTTCCTTTATATACTATTCCCAACGTGGGGAGAGAAACAAAAATCTCACAAGGAGTTGCCCATTTTAAAGCAGACTTTGCCTTTTTTTCCAAAGGTGGAGCGTGAGTACCAGAAGGATCCAGTGTTCAGTTTTTTAGGAAAGTCTGTGGTCAGAAATTACCTTTTTGACACAAACCTAGGACTGAATACTGTAAAAAATTATATATAAATATATATATATATATGAGTGAAACCTTGTGAACTCTTTAATTAGAGTTTTCTTGTATAGTGGCAGAAATATACATTTCTGCAAAAAGTGTAATGATGTACTTAATCATGCTAAACTTTTTATAAAAGTTTAGTTGTAAACTTTAACCCTTTTTATACAAAATAAATCAAGTGTGTTTATTGAACTGATTGCTTGCTTTATTCTTTGGGGACCAACTGTTTGCTGGCTTTGATTTGTGTTGTAGTTTTGTTGTTTGCTTTTTTAATTAATTATGTTATGACTTTATCAAAGTAAAAATTCAAGTATGTAGAGACTATAAAGAATAAAATTACCTGAAGTGAATGATTCTTGTTAACTCGGAAAATCTTATTTGAGTGTATATTGTAAACATCTAAGCCATCTGCCTGTAAACAGGGTGAAAGGAACTAGAAAAGGAATTTATTACACAGGGGCTGCTATTGACGAAAGTGTTTGGAAATGTACAAAGGCAGTTAATCCTGAGACATTCCCATGGAGTACTGCCTTTTTTTCTGCCCTCCTACCCACCCCTATGAATGATTCAGTTCAGGGTAGTAATGGCCCAGATCTGTTAATTTCTGTTTAATCACTCAGAATTAGGGGTTGTGGGTGGTTATTAGTCCCCCAACTATTAAACTGCTCTAAAAAGGCTTTGAATGTAAGAGTTGGTGATGCGTTAACATGGGATCTAGAATGATGAAGTGACTGTTGCCTTTCCACACTGGAATTTTTGTGCTCCCATGCAGTATTTCAATGAAATGGGGTTTCTAATCATTTGCAGCAGCTTCTCCATATGACTAAGATACTGAAAATTGAGCTAAATCGCTGTTGTGTTACTGATTAAACTTTGGCTGCTCCTACAGGGACTCTCTCCATAAGAATTAAATTAAGTTTGAAATAGGAGTCTAAATTCCTGAAAGCCAGCAACAGTTTATTTCTTCTCTTCTGCCCTTGGAAGCTACGCAATAGCCCTTACTTATCCAAGGGATACTTACTGTACCCTATGGAACCCCTTCATTAGATGTATTTAGTTGTCATAAGACAGTGGATGTGGGAACTGTGCCTTATCAAATGACATTCTAATTTAAGGTCACTCATAAACTTCCCTGAAATGGGAAGTTAAGTTGTGGGCCCTACTTAGGTCTTGAAGACAGTCACTTGTAATTGGAACGAAAGAAACTTCCCTGCTGCTCTGGGTAAGTACAGCTCTCTGGCAGGCACTGCACTTCGGGCCTGAGGGAGCCTGTTTAGGGTTTCTGTACTCTAAGGGACTCTTAGCGTGAAAGGCAGAAGTCTCACCTGGGGCCAGTAACACTTTCACCAGCGAACAGGTGGGTGGGTGGTGCTCTGGGGCAGCGGCAGCTGCCTTTCCTTGCCCTTGACACCAAATCCATTCACGTAGGCTGGGAGAAAGCCAGCTCTGATCTCTTAATACTGAGGCTGCCCTGCCCAAGCAGAAGTGCGCCCTCTCGGAGGATCAATGCAATCAGAAGACGAGAAGGGTTAGCAAAAGCTGGGACGGGGTGGGGGGAGGGGAGGAGGACACAGCCCAGAGCTGATCTGCATCTCCCCATGCCCCCCCAGCCCCGCGGAGATTAGGGAAATCTCTCTATGTAGCACACATCGGCTGTGCCTCCTGTGGCCAAACCTCGCTACTGTCTCAACGCGCGGAGCTCGGGTTTGTTCCAGCTTCGTGCAATCAGCGCTTAACCCTGACAGCCCAGGAGTGAAGCGCTTCACTGCCGCGAATCAGCCTGCCTCGGTCCCCAAAACACTCCCTTTCCTGTGTGTTTTACCTAACTCTGAACAGTAGCAAGTTTCAGGGTTGTAGTCAGACTACTGAGAACTTCGTTGTTCTGAGCTAGTCACAATCTAACATAATTGCCACCAAATTTCACTGTCAAAACTAATTTTTCACCCTATTGTTCATTTTAGGGTGAGACCACAGTAAGCATCACTTTAATCCCGCAGTTCAGTTTGTAAAATTAAAGAGCTGCAGCGGTCAGATCACTGTAATTATTTTAAGATCAACCATTTTAGAAACTAAGGCATTTGCACTTTGATATTTTTAAGCTACAGGATGATTAACGCACTTGTAGAATGAAACCGACTTCCTTATCATGCCTAGCCAAAAGAGAAATTCACAATTTACAAGGCGTGGGGAGCTGAGCAGGAAAACAAACAAACATGTTTTAAAAAATGTAAATTAAGAAAGGAAAAAAATTTTCCTCTTTCAGGATTAACTAATTCCTCGACTTGACAACGCATTCCTATGATCAGAACTAGGGGCTTAAGCTAGGTACTGTACTCACTTAGAGATTCACTCTTTGGTTTTGTTCTTAAGATTTTGCCATTCAAAGATAAACAGCAAGGTCAAAGCTGAGTGCCCAGAGCCTTAACATTAATTCCTGAAGTTTCCTTGTAGATGTGGGATTTCTTTATTCTATAGCACTGCCATTGTCTCTCCAGAATACATTAGAAAAATCTGTGACATTTTCACCACTTTCCCTGGCCCACTTACCGTCTCTGCACACAGCTGTTGCCAACGGCCCCGTTAACTGAGTAGCTCAACACAGCAGATCAAGAGGACCTGCAGTCAACTATGCGGTAGCAAAACAGTTTTAGCAACATATTTAAACTCTAAAATACTTTTGAATGGGCCATGCACTAAAGTTGGAAATGCACCTATAGACACTTCACCACGGGGGAAAAAAACCCAAGCAGAGATACAAGAGGACTCTCATTTAGAAGAGAGGTTTTCAAACCTGGCTTTTCTAGTGTACTGTCCTTAACAACACACGTCTCAGCTCCCAGTCCCACCCCAGTCAGCACCGACGGGCTCACCCAAGGGGTGGCAGGAGTCCCTTCAGCCCATCTCCGGGTAAGGGCAATGCAGAGAACAGCCTGGGGTTTGTTTACTGCCCCCCGGGAAAACCGCAGTGTCTATCGCACCACAGAACCATTCAGGAGCCACTTTGCAGAGCCCGTGCCAATATTTGGACAAAAATATGACCGAGAGCGCTGACTCCGAGCAAAGGTAGCCCGTACCTCCGGCTGCCTCCCGTGGGCGCCGGGCTCGGGCCCCGCGCGGGGCGGTGCGTGGAGGGCCAGTG